CGACTACATGGGAGTCCAGTGACATAGCCATTATGCTAACTGCTGGTTCTCTCTGAGTGAGGTTCTATGCCAGGTTCTAGGAACAGGAGGATTGATGGGAAAGTTCTGGCCCTGCTTTTAAGGAATTTGCAGTCGGGGGGCGGGGGGCAGAACCCAACACATGACGTGGGTATAATGGGAAGCACAGAGATGGGGTTTTCTAATTATCACCTACAAAGTACTCAAGGGGTGGAGATTCTTCTACAAAGGTCACACATCAGCTTTACTCCACACTTAGTGCCCATCAGTTCTCCTGCAGTGGCTAAAAAATAAACCCCGGCCTAAGTGAGAATGAAAACGCTGACGACTCATTGCCATTAACTGCACCGTCAGCATGACCTCAGTATAGTACCAATGAAAAGTTTATGTGCTATTAAAAAATTAAAAGATGTAAAACTTCTTTGAACCCTTTTAAAAAGGCTAATTAGAGTCCTAGCCAATTTACCTGCTTCAGTGAAAATCAGCATCAAATACAGAGGTTTGGTCCATTTGTGCTTGAGTGTTGTATTGATACATCTTTATGAATATCGAAGCTGCTTTATTGTGTTGATGTAAATGAAGTTCCTCCTCCATGAGACTGTTTTCTGGGTCCTGAAGGCTTCTTTTGGGTGTATTTCTGGAAGTGAGGATTGGTTGAATATGTACTGCTTTGACCTACTGGCTCTTTTACTCAAAGCAATTCCTATTTCTATCTGCACACTGATTCAAATGATCATAAATTTTAACATCTGAATACCTGTATCCTTTGTGGTCATTAGATAGCTACAGTTAAATGGCTGAATCCTTTTTAAGAGAGGATATATATCTCTCTTTATAGGATTTATCTCTCTTTATAGATACATACGCACATGTTTGATCTTCAGAAAGTTCACGGAAAACGTATTATGAACATCTGCATGGATTTTGATTTTTTTGTTTGCAACAAAATAAATGCGTACATTACTTCTATCTTTCCATAAAATTTTTTCTCTTATTTTTATTATATTTTTCATTTTATTTCATACATTCAATCATTGTACATCACCACATCTTGTGAAAAGTATTTCCCAACATAAATACACTACACACCAATCCTGTTAAAGATATTATCATACACATTATCATCACCAGATAATCCTCCATTTCTGTGTCCCTTACTGTCTTATTCTATGAACTTTTTGAAATCCCAGCATACACACTTTTTAAAAAATAAATATTTTTATTTTATTTAAAGTTTTCTCTTTACTTATTTAAGTAATCCCCCACAATCGTATTCCTGGACTGATTCTCTATTCCCATTTCATTACATTTTTTAAAAAAAATGCAATTTCATGGTATATGTTTGTAGGGGGTGCAGGAGGAACCCCTGGATAAATTTACACTTGGTCATATTCAGCATAGAAAGTCATAATGGAAACAGGGCCTGAGGGGACATTAAAACGCAACTGAAGGATGTCACACATGTTCATGGTGACTTTGGTGTCATTAACTTACACCAGCCATTTTAAATGGATAATTTATGCTGCCAGATGGTCCTTTTTGGGGATTTTCCATCAAGCCCAATCCCCTTTTTGGCACAGAGAACACCTTTATGTTGTTCCCACACTTATCCCGGCCTGCATAGCTTTTCCCCAGGGGTACAGTTAATTGAGTAGGAGGCTTTTAGCGGCTCCCTCATGTAAATTACATTCAGAACTATGTCGGGAGTTATGTGTATCTGAAGGCACTGGCAACCTCTTGGTTGCCTACATTTAGGGTAATTTCTCAGGCAAATACTGAGGATACTTTGTTTATGCCTCAGAGGTGACCCAGGCAGCAAGGCCTGTGCTCACTCCTCCCTCAGAAAGCCTTGCATCTGTTTACCTGCCCTCAAATGCTTTTTTGGGACTCCAGGGCCAAAGAGCGCTGAAGGTTGCCAGAAGAGACAAATTTCTTTGAGCAACAGGAAGACTTTGGAAAGTAAAACAAACCAGACGTGCAGTAAATTACATGGGTTCTTTCAAACGTCTTTTGTAGTATCCTGTTCCCCATTAGTTTATCTCAGCACTTTTAGTGCACAGCTCTTATTATCTGGAAGAGGGGCATAAGAGATTAAAGATGATGTTAGTGTAAAGACATCAGACAAGGCCGGGCCGACTTCTGCTTCTCTGACAATGCCGCGTTTGTTCCCTCCATTTAGTTTCCTTTCCCAGTTATCTCGAAACGGGGCTGGATTCGAAGCTTTGAAGCTAATCATACACCGATGAAATGAGTCCTATGAAATTCTATCAAGCCAAAAAGGCACATACCATCAATTCCTGTGTAACTGTACAAATGAAAAAAAAAAAATGCAGGGAAACTGATCATACAAATAGGAAGGAAACTAACAAGCAGGCACCTGTGTTGGGGTAAACAGGGCGTGTGGTGCTTTCATAAATATGGTGAAAATCCCAGTTACCATGGAGTCCTTCCTCTGTACCAGGTTTCTTTTTCTTTTTCTTTTTTTAAATCTCCTTTAAAAAATGTAAGATATAATGATTCTGCCTCTATAGAGATAAAAACTGGGAATCATAACAGAGTAAGTGACTTGTCCAAGACCATACAGAGAGTAAATCTGTGGGGCCAGAATTCAGGTTTTAAGTCAAATCTGACTTCAGAGTATAAGTTTTGTCTTTTTATCCTCAATAATTTCTTTTACCATAAATGTTTCTACATGCAGTCTATGATCTAATTTCCTGGATTTGTACTTAAGTTAAAAACATAATAAAGAATAAAAAACTCATTAGAAAGACCTGAAAAATCCCCCATTTTCCTTATCCCAAGCACTTGTTTTACAATGTAGGCAAGAGAAACGAACATAAATGAATAGATACACATGGGACAGAATACATAAGGAAAGAGTAGTAACGTCCAATAAAGTGAGATGTCTATTATTCCACCACAAAATCAAATAATCCTCAACATTCAGGTTTTGGCACAAATAATATCTGATATTGGAGGCCTTCGGTGATCTAAGAGGCTGGTGACCCTCCCTCTGTCATCCTGTAACTCATAACCCTTCTTACCTATCTTCGTACGTCTGTCTGCTATTTTTGTCTCCTTTCTCCTTCTAGAATATATAAATCCATGGACTAAGGGACTTGTCTTTTCCACTGCTTACACCTTCAGTATCTAGTACATATTC